CATCTGCAAATTTGTGGACATCATTTTTGGTGAACGATAAATATCTTCACGTTATGGAGTCTGCATAGTCTGGTTTTTTTTTTTTACAATCCAAGGCTCTAAACTTGGGAAAGCATTGATTTCTAAGGACATGGGGCTGGAGCAGTATTTAAGTGTCAAAGGCTGAGCAAATGGCAATCCGCTGAAGCCTCCTAGTGGGTCTAAAACTTACCGTACACTATAAAATCTGATGATACAATCTCTTAGACCTATCCACTTCGCAGTGCAAGGGATTGCCTGATTGGATACAAGTTAAATGGATTTTTTAGCTATGTCCTCTTATAACAGAATTCTGGTAAATTTAAAAGGACATTGTACAACCTGATGGTATGTATGGCCAGATTTAGAACAGCCTATTAGTAGGAAATGATGAAAACGTATTAATCTGTACCTTCCTATACTAGTTTATAGATGTAATGTAGTTCCAATTGCTATGTTTCCGTTTATATCTTTGTCATGTGGGAGCAGTGTGCAAAGCCGTAAATGAACCCACATTGCGTGTCGCAATATTAGGTGCCCTGCAGAGTCAGGAAAAGAAACAGACTAAAGAGGTTAAGCGGCCAAGGATATTAGCAAAGTCAGGTGTAATGCAGGGTCCTGGGCTCCCTCAAGCAAGGGTAAAAGCCTGGGAGATGGATAAGATAGGATAAGATAGGATAAGATAGGATAAGATAGGATAAGATAGGATAAGATAGGATAAGATAGGATAAGATAAGATAAGATAAGATAGGATAAATAGGATAGAAACACATTTGTTTTAAATTGTTCCCCAAAAAAATGTACATCCAGGCATTAACTAAAACCCTATACCTCCCTTCTCCCTCTCTAAACAATGTCCTAACATTAAACTTTTTCTTTTACCTTTCAAATGAGAGAAACGGCTTTCACCATTATAACTTCCAGTGACATCACCGGCCTATAAAATTCCTTCAGAAACTAGAAGGTCAGCTCCTATTCACACAGGAATTTCCCCTCCAGAACTACATTTCTGAGTAAAAACCCTTCACCAGAACACAGGGTGGGCAGGCTCTTGGGAGTCAAAGCAGCAGCATTGTTTTATGGGAAAATAAATTAAGGTATACGTTTGAAAAGACAGATGAGGGGATAGGTGGAATTTTGTAGTTCGGCACGCACTGCTGACAAAACTGCTAAGGATTTCAAAAAAGCAATGTGTTATCAGACCAAATAGGAAGTTAGCAACTTAATGGATTTCTGGCAGATCAACATGAATGCTGCACTCACAGCATTTTTTAAAGTGATAAAACAGAAGGAAATGTGCATGTATTGCAGAGATGTGTTAAATATATGTTGTTTTTTTTCACATACACTTTAAAGAGAAATAAGTAAACAAAACATGGGCATTCTTGTATAATAATGCTAAATAGTATATAAAAAGATTTGAAGATAGTTTTTGTAGGCAGGACATTGCCAAAAAAAAGTGAGGATTTATATTCCCAAGCCTAAATGCCTTTATTTTTGCCATCATTTTAGTTTTTAAAGGAAAATTGTTATGGGAGAAAATGAAAACTGCTGTTACTGACCTCCTCTTGAAAATAATTTCATAGATCTAATAGCTACTATGTGTAACATGGGATATAGTAAGCTAGGCGGCTATGCTCTGCCTGAAATTGAACAAACCTGAAATAGAACTTATTAAAAACAAAATATATAATTAAAAGAGCTTGCTTAAAATGTCAAAGTTAAAATGAAACATTAAAATATTTAGGAAACACTACAATTAAGATAAAACAAACATCTAAATGAAGTGTAAGATAACTGTTGTACAATGGTAACATCTAGTGGACAGATAAGGAACTGCAAACCCCTAAAAAAGAACATTCTATGAATGCTTACACCAGTCACAGATCACTGGCATTACAATATCATCTGCTGTCTTTGATGAGAATTCATAATCAATGTGTTTACTCTGTGTAAAATCACTACAACATTTGACACTAAGGCCCCATTCACACTGCGCAATGCGTTTGTCGCGCGATTTGCATTTCGCGCGATATCGCGCAAATGCTTGCATTGAGCAAGCTAGCATCACGGCAAAATCCGCTCCAAAAAGGGTCCTGCTGTAGCGACGCACGACCCGCGACAGCAGGACCCTTTGCCCCATTGCCAAGCATTGGAAAGCGATATCGCGAGGTAAATAGCCACGATATCGCGGGAATTACCGCGCAATAAACCGCTCAGTGTGAACGGGGCCTTAGATTGTATTTTATTAGGATATATATCTATGTAGACACACACACCAAAAGTATTGGGACACCTGCCTTTACATGAACTTTAATGGCATCACAGTCTTAGTCCGTAGGGTTCAATAATGAGTTGGCCCACCCTATGCACCTATAACAGCTTCAACTCTTCTGGGAAGGCGTCCACAAGGTTTAGGAGTGTCTATGGGAATGTTTGACCATTCTTCCAGAAGGGCATTTGTGAGGTCAGGTCCTGATGTTGGACGAGAAGACCTGGCTTGCAGTCTCCGCTCGAATTCATCCCAAAGGTGTTCTATCGGGTTCAGGTCAGGACTCTGTGCAGGTCAGTCAAGTTCCTCCACCCCAAACTCGCTCATCCATGTCTTTATGGACCTTGCTTTGTGCACTGGTGCGCAGTCATGTTGGAACAGGAAGGGGCCATCCCCAAACTGTTCGCACAAAGTTGGGAGCATGAAATTGTCCAAAATGTCTTGGTATGCTGATACCTTAAGAGTTCCCTTCACTAGAACTAAGGGGCCAAGCCCAACTCCTGAAAAACAACCCCACACCATAATCCCCCTCCACCAAACTTTACACTTAGCACAATGCAGTCAGGCAAGTACCGTTCTCCCGGAAACCCCGCCAAACCCAGATACATCCATTGGATTGCCAGACAGAGAACCGTGATTTGTCACTCCAGAGAACACATCTCCACTTCTCTAGAGTCCAGTGGCGGCGTTCTTTACACCACTGCATCCGAGGCAGCTGATTGGCCATGGAAACCCATTCCATGAAGCTCTCTACGCACTATTGTTATGCCAATCTGAAGGCCACACGAAGTTTGGAGATCTGTAGCGATTGACTCTGCATATTAGGTGGCCTACCACTTCATGGCTGAGTTGCTTTTGTTCCCAGTTGCTTCCACTTTGTTATAATACCGCTAACAGTTGACCGTGGAATATTTCACGGATGGCAACCTATCACGGTACCACGCTTGAATTCACTGAGCTCCACATTTCACAAATGTTTGTAGAAGCAGTCTGCATGCCTAGGTGCTTGATTTTATACACCTGTGGCTGTGCAGGTGATTGAAACACCTGAATCCAATGATTTGGAGGGGCGTCCCAATACTTTTGACAATATAGTGTAAGTGGAGGAAGAAGCCCGTGAATTGATGGCAACACCAAAAAGTATTAAAGGTGCCCATACACCTTACGACCATCTCAAGACTTCTGTCTTGCGATGGTTGTAAGCTTATTAAAAGCTCGTACGATCTGCCCATCTTGGACAGGCAGATCGTACTTGCGATCATCAAAAGTACTTCCGATGACCGCAGTGTGGGGCGGGCTTCCGATCACTGCAAACGGGCAGCGTGCGCACACTGGCCCGTTCGGCAGTTGTCGAACAAGCAGGCCACTAACCCACCGAGAATTGTACGATTCTCTGCGGGTTTTCAAGCCTGCTTGTTCGACGGAAGACGTGCGACCGTACAGTAGAAACGGTCACACGCCTTCCATACACTGTACGTTATCGTACGATCGTGGGATTCTCGTACGAGAATCGTACAGTGTATGGGCAACTTTAGATTGGGCAGGGCAAATAAAATGTAATTTAGGTGTCAAAAACCACCTTCAGGCCCCATTCACATTGAGCCATTCGCAAATCGTGCGTTTGTCGCGTGATTTGCATTTTGCGCGATATTGCGCAAATGCTTGCATTGAGCAAGCTAGAATCGCGGCAAAATCCGCTCCAAAAAGGGTCCTGCTGTAGTGACGCACGACCCGCGACAGCTACAGACAGAGCCCCATTGAGATGCATTGGAGAGCGATATCGCGCGGTAAATAGCCGCGATATCGCGGGAATTACCGCACGATAAATCGCTCAGTGTGAACGGGGCCTAATAGTTCAGGGCCCATTCACACTTCTGTTCCTGTATGCTGCATTAATGCACGTTTTGTTGCATGTTAACCATTTCCGGGCTGCAATACGTCTATAGGACGGCAGCCCGCAGAAGTAGTTAAAACAAGAACATGGCTGCTGCAGCAGCTGTGTTCTTGTTGTTTTTAACAGCAGACGATTGTTGTTAATGTATAAGCGATCCGGCGTCTGTACAGCTGCCGGATCGTTTGTACCGTGCCGCGCTCTCCCATCTCTGCTTCCTCAGCTTCTTTGGGGTCCCTAGGTCACATTAGGGGTCTGACGCCTGATGTCTCCATAAAGAGGACCTGTCACACCCTATCTGGTATTACATAGGGGGCTTGTTAGCCCCCACCTTGTGATAGCAATAGGGTAAGTGTTAAAAAAAAAAAAAAAAAAGTATTTAAAATTATACAAATTAAAGTAACATAAGAATAAAAAAAAGCAAAAAAATGTTTTGAAGTCCCCCGCGTGCATGCACAAACACGCGTCGATGCGCCTACTTGCAAAAACGACAATTGCGCTACACATGTTACATATCGCAGCAAACGTTGGAGAGCAGTAATTCTAGGGCCATCAATCACTGTTGGCACTAAACTGATGAGCAGTAAAAGTGTTACTTAAACTTGGGAAAAGGTTCTGCTTCATGGTAAATAAGGATAAACAGCTTGAGGTTAATAAAATATATGGGCTTATGCAAATGAATTTCCTAGCAATATCAAAACAATCACAACAGAAGGAAAATGCGGCAATTTATTTAACAAGTAAAAGGCGCTTACTACTAAAATCAAATAAAAATCTACCAACAACTAAGGTGACCAAAATTATTAAAACTATACTCACCCATTGTAACATAGGGTAGCCGATCTGTTGATCCATGTGGGTAAATGCTATACAGATGAGGGCCTTGAATGTCCACCCCACCAAGTACAAGTGCAGCACCAATGTAGCCTTGATACCTGTTTGTCCATAAGAAAGAAAAAAAACAAACAATGTTACTATTATGAAATTGGTCAACTGCTTTTTCTGTACTGTTGCAGAAGACATGTCATTCAATGCACAATAAAATGAAATATGGAAAAACAGCCCCCACCTCAAAAGTAGAACAAATACATAATCATCAACTACAAAATAAACAGTTACTGCATTTGGACCTATTACAAAACATATACTTTAGGGTAAGCAGTCATTTTTAAGAACAGAAGCTAGGCAATACCATACATACCCAAAGACTAAAATCAAGATAGCTGTTAAACCGACACTAAACTCAAGAGTTAAATCTTAATGCATTCAGGTACCTTAACTATTAACTAAAATGTTTCTACTTTGTATATCACTTGGCCGTAGATGCTCAAATCATCTCTGAATTGGTGCAGACACTGTCCTTCCTTCTGGAGGGTGGTTGTTCCCCAAGCCCCCTGGGCTAAAAGTTGCCAGTCAGCCCCTGCCATGGTCCCTGTGTGTGTTGTAAAGTAGCCCCCACTCAAAGCTTGCTCCCGTAATAGACAATAATTCCACTACAAATTAGTAATCTAAACATGAGATTCTAGTCCATCACGGGAGTGAGCTTGGAGCGGTGACTACTTTACAACACACACAGGGACCATGGGGAACAACCACCCTCCAGAAGGAAGGACAGTGTCCGCACCAATTCAGAGATGATTTCAGGATTTACAGCCGAGTGATACACAAATAAGAAAAATTTTTGTTAAAAGTTAAAAAGGTACTTGAATGCATATTAAGATTAACTCCTGGAGTTTAGTTTCACATTATACCGCAGTGATAACGAGCTACCAACACAGTATTGTCTGAAAGAAAAAAAAAACAATTCCTGTTGCCTGTGTTTTCATTGCAGCTCAGGAGACTGAAAGTACATACTGTTACCTAGTTGCAGTAAGAACCATCTTCCTTTATACATTTCTTTGTATGATGCTTTCTTACCATGTCTTACTGAACCAAATTTAAACTAATGTTGTAAGTCCATAAAATAAACAGGATAAAATGAATCCCTGAAAAATGTTCTACTGTATGAAGGTACAAGATTTCTGAGGTATGATATATACAACACAAAGTGCAGAGGTTTACCGTATGGAATGTATAAAAAACATACAGACTGCAGTATTGAGGGATATGCAGCATATAGCACAGCACAGAGATCGTAATGGTCCGCAGTATGTCACTTTGTATCCGGAAGGATGATCTAAAAAAGAGGAATACTTACCATACACGACATTCCTGCGATAGGTAAGACAGACACACTTATATAAATATGTACAAATCAAGACCAGTGGTGGTCGACGGTCCAGCACTTTACATGATGACGTCAGTGAGAAGGGTGGCAACAACACAAATTGGAGACAGGCAACCGAAGGCGGGTAAGAAAGACTGTGGGACTGTGGATTAAGGCAAGTATCCCTCTTTATTTTATTTTTGCACGGAGTGATGATTTACATTTTCACAAAACATTGAAGTGCCCTGACATATCAGCTGCAATCCGGCCTAATAATGTGACTTGCTTCCCAACTCAAAAGATTTTGCCTAAATTAGATTTTACACCTTAAAGTGAAATGAAGCCAAAACTTTATTTTAGTTTTAGATAGAGTGCAGAATTATTTTTTTTCTCAATGAAAGTGAAAGAAAATCCCAAGGTTTGGCTGGTCACAATAACAGGAGTAGATGGGAAATCTTCCAATGGGGGCAATAGTTCTGGCGACTCTGCTGACCACCAGGGATTTTTCACTCTTGGTGAAATCAGACAGGAAGTCTAATGGCAAAAAAACCCTATTTTACTTTATCCAAAACTAAAAAAAAAAAAAGGGTTTTTGCGTTCTACTTTTTCATTATTGCTCCAAAATTCAGATGGAAAAAAAAAAAAAAAAAGCTCACTGCAAAAAGGTTAACATATACAATATACAGATGCCCAGTTTTGAAAGCATAAATGTTCATTCACAAGTGCAATCATATCGGGATAAAACAGTATCAGCCCGTCATTGATAATACCTTTCGGTTGTGATCCCAAAGACACCATGTAAATTGCAAGCCTGATTTAGCCTGGTAGCTGCGGAGCAATGACTGTCCCTAAAGCCATTTGGATATAAGAAGTTCCACACTTCTAATAGCTGTTGAACTAGCCTAGCTACAAACAACCCCTAATGATTTAAGCACATGAAGTAGATCAAGTGTTAAATCAAGTGTAATGTCATACACGGAGAAAGAACTCTCTTTACTAAACAAAAAAACAGATTTATCTTTATAAAACTGATTTCCCATCTGTGTACAAAGCTCCTTTTAATATGACACTTTTATTTATTTATTTTTTATACAAACTTGCTAAAACCAAAGTAGTCCGAGATAATTGATTTGCAAAAGACTGATGCTTGACACTAAGCCAGAGGCCTTTCCTTAAAACTTTAAAATGATGTACACTTTCCTATTTGCTTTCATGCAGTGATGTATGGTGTCTGCCTAGAGCTGCTGAAAATTTCTAGCAGAATTAAACTGTTCCGCTGCTACAATTGGTATAAATATTTCATGGTGGAGCTGCCATGCAGAGCCTTTCCCCCGCTTGCTTTTCCTTGTCAGACAAATGAACACAACGAGAAGCAATTCAATCTCAAATACCGACAAGCCTTCACATTGCTGTAAAGTAAAGCTTTAGAACAATGGCTGATGCGTAGGAACCCAGAGAACTGGAAACATTATCATTTGTCAACACAGTATGAATATCGTTTCCTGTTCAGTGGGGTCTAAGTTCTTCTCCCCACTGGCTGTCAACAAGATGTATACAGGAGGTATGTGTTCATTCTCAGTCTTCGGAGATTTGGTACTGCTGAGTCCACAGTGAAAGCTATTGAACACACTACTTTCCAGAACACAAACCCTTGTGAATGTTGATATTTCCTGGCCACCCAAAACCAGTTACACTGCTCAGGGAATCATCTTCATCTGAATTGGCATCACCAGGTTTGCAAGAAGCTTACTTTAAATGGAGCCCTGACAAACAGCTAAAATAAATGTTTACTATTCCACCTGCCAAATGATTTGTAATGCTGTTGAGAGTCTAGTCATTCACACCCCCCTGTCATACTGCCCAGCCAGGTAAGTGGCACATTCACCGATTCAGCTGTGCAACTTCCTCTGCCATTTCTCCATCCTGTCTACTAGACAAATAATTAACATCAGCACCCTGTATAATAAGCCGAGAGGTGATCCAGAAATCATTGAAACGGAATAAGAAAATAAAACCAGCATAGAAGTGTGCAAAATCACAAGAGTGGCAGACATGTATTTCACCTGTGTATTGGTTGGAAATCCACGTTAAAGAACTCCAGACAAAATGTATTAACCCCTGCAGTGGGGCTACCCCTTCACTGCAAGGGTTAATCGCTCGTTTTTGTCTAGGTGCTAAAAAATAAGTGATTTTTCCACAAAAGTCTATTAAAAATATATTTCTGATGCGATTGCAAACTGACCTTTCAACAAGAGCAGCATACAATGGTCTATAAATATACATACAACACTTTATAATGTCTACTTTCTGGCACAACTCTACTACTATACTTCCAGCACATAAGAGACAACCATCATTTCAGGACTGTGTCAAAAACATGGTGCTTGTGAAGTCCCACACCCTTATGTAGGTCAGATTCTCTGCCAAAATAAGTCAATGATAACCAGGACATTTACCCTGTTTGTAAAATTCTGCTAAATCATAAATCTTTAGTTCTTGAATTCATGAACAGTAGGGAAGTCCGATACAGGGCATTTTGGCAAGTACTTGTCAAAATGCCCCGATACATAGCGCCGATGCTTGCGCTATTTTTTTTTTTTCCTTTACCTTCGGGCTGCTGAGTGGGAGAGCACTGGCGAGTCAGCGCTGGTCCAGTAGCTGGACGGCGACTGCCCAGAGGACCCCGACGCACGCGGCGCCTCTGGGCAGTCGCCGGCCAGCTAAATTGGGACTCCACCTGGAGCTCCTCCCACCGGACCAACGCAGTAGACCAGTATAGTACATAATATGCAGTTGTACTATAGATCATTTAACCCATTCATGTTAGCAGGGCAGAATTGTAACTATTGCTGCAGACTGCAGTGCACTGAACGTGTGTACTGTTTATGTACTATGGATCACGATTAAACCTATTGATGTTAGCAGGGGAGAATTGTAAGTGCCTCCCACAAGCTGAGCACTGCGACGCGATGCAGCAATCCTGCCCAGCGCCGACTACGAGAAGCACCGCGTGAGGCAACAGGAATCAGAGTGAAACTAAGTGAGGGAAGCTGGGACAGGACTGGCTGTAAATCTATTGCTACAGTGTACTGTTTATGTAGTACATATAAACAGCACACACTTTCACTACACTGCAGCAATAGAGTTACAATTCTCCCCTGCTAACATGAATAGGTTAAATCAAGATCCATAGTACATAACATGTAGTTGTACTATGGAACATTTAACCTATTCATGTTAGCAGGACAGAATTGTAAATCTATTGCTGCAGTGTATTGGGAATGTGTACTGTACATGTACTACATATAGAATACACTGCAGCAATAGTTACAATTCTGTCCTGCTAACATGAATAGGTGAAATCATGATCCATAGTACAACTACATGTTATGTACTATGGAACACGATTTAACCTATTCATGTTAGCAGGGCAGAATTGTAACTATTGATGCAGTGTATTCTATATGTAGTACATGTACAGTACACATTCCCAATACACTGAATAGGTGAAATCATGATCCATAGTACAACTACATGTTATGTACTATGGATCACGATTTAACCTATTCATGTTAGCAGGGCAGAATTGTAACTCTATTACTGCAGTGTACTGGAAGTGTGTACCAGGTTAAATGATCCACAGCACACACTTCCAGTGCACTGCAGCAATAAAGTTACAATTCTCCCCTGCTAACATGAATAGGTTAAATGATCCCAGAGGCAGATGCA